CGCCTCACTCAGCCAGTGAGCGGGAACCGGTCTGTATGTGGGATCCGAACCCTCGGGCGGGAGCGCCGCCGCGCTTCCCAAGCGGTGCACTATCCAGTGCGCCACCGGGCCGGCCCGAAAATAGAATAATTTAATCAGGCCCCCTCGCCTCAGGGCTTGTTGGGGGTGGGTGGAGTTAGTGCATCTGTGCGGCGCCGCCACCTTGGCTGGAATTTACTGCTTTGGGTGGCCACCACACACACAACCATGCTTTCCAACCTACAGTTTCCAAGGACCTGTTTGCTGGTTACCTAGCTCATAGACCTGTGTGTGAGGGGTCTGGTGACCCAGCCTGGCATGCAAAGAGGTTGTGACCCAGTCTGGACAACAGGCTTGAGGGGTCTGTGAGCTCCAGACCCAGCCCTAGCTTGACAATTGGCCCAGTCGGCAGGATTCTGACATTAGCCCAGCTTTGCAATTGGCATAGTTGGCAGGATTACAGGCAGGTAAAAGAGCTGACAATTGGTGACATTGGCAGGATTCCGACAGAGCCAGAGCACTACATTTTTAAATTATCGTAAAGTAAAATGGGCTTTTGGGGTGTCCCGTGTGAATTCTTATGTACACATACACTCACATAACCACTGCAAGTCATCCCTTCAGAGCCTGGTGTGTTTAAGGTGACAGAGGAATGGGCTGTCTCAGTCGAGCCCCCCATGCTAAGGGCCTCACAGTGTGAGCTGCTGACATCACCAAGCTCCATGACATCAGGATTGTTATTTCACCCGTTTTGCAGCTAAGAAAAACTGAGACACTGCGGGGCACCCACCTGCTCCTGGAAGAGGCAGGAAGAGGGTTCACTCACATGGGGAGCCATGCAAGCCTGGCCCTGGCACGCAGCAGCCATGGCTGTGTCCAGCCAGCCGCCTGTCCAGGGTAGTCCGTGGGCCTCCATCTCTCGATTGCAGACCCCAGCCCCAAGCCTCAGCCCTCTTGGAGCCACGTGGGAATGGGAGAGGCTCTGCTGTGTGTCCCAGGCTCTGCTCTGACCACTGGTCAGCCTTATGGAGCGGGTGCCCTGCAGGGCCTGGCCTCTGGTGCTCAGGGCAGCCAGGTCAGCCCCTGCCTGCACGTTGTGGAGCCTGAGCAAGCCCTGCCCCTCCTGGCCTCGGCCTCCCCAGGGTTCATTCCCTGACCCTGGCCTCCCCAGAGGTCATCCTTGACCTCTGCCCCTCCAGAGGTCAGCCCATGACCTCTGGGGCCTTTCACGTGGATGTGGAGCATCACAGTAGTTTCAGCTTCCTGTTACTTCAACTTTTCATTTTCAGCAGGTATTTTCTGTTGTAAATTTGCTAAACCAATCTCTTTTTTCTTAATTATATATTCATATTTATTAGGTTGTTTCAGTTCCTGGGTTTTAGCCTGTCTTTTTCCTGAGAAAAGTTGTAGAAAAGTCTCATGTTTGTGTTTAAGCATGTGAACCTCCAGGAGCTCCCCTGGACTCTCTTTCCCGTCCCACACCGCTTCTGTGACCCTTCACCTGGTGGCTGGAAGCCACGTCCTCACGCACTGGAAACCGGGACGTTGGGGAGTCCCTGCATGGTTCCCATGCGCCAGAACTGCTCTGCGTTGGTTGCTGAGGGGCAGTTATCCTGCGTGTTCCTCTGCAGGCTTTTCCTGGTGTCCTGCTGATTTTTCAAAATGAACGAAAGCATAAAAAATCCTTAAAACCCTAAAAAACCCTTTTGACTATGTAATCGGGCTTGCAATTGTTGCATTGGTGATTTTGTCTAAGTGGCGTTGGGTCTTCCGCTCTGACCACAGGGTGTCTCTCCCACTTGGAAACCTTCGTTTTCGGTCCCTTGGAGCATTTTTCTTCAGATCGGCCCTGCACTTCCTCGTGAGGCTGACTTCTGGCCGCGTCTCATTATTTCAGTCTCCTAACTTGTCTGTATGTAGAAGATTATTGATTTCTGCATATTGGGTTTCCAACCGTATTTACTTACCTTGTGGCTTCGATTGGTTATTTTGTGGCATTAGATTCCTTCGCGTGTTTCAAATTGCCGTGGCACTTTCTTACTGGACATGGAGACTCTCTCACCTGTGGGCAGCCCGGGAGAGGAGGACAGCGCTGAGACCCAGAGTTTGTTCCCTGAGTGTACTGGAGAGTCAGGCGCGATCAACATGGTTTCTGGCCACCCCTCCAGCTGCTGCCGCTCCCGTCCCCCAGTGAGAAAGCACAAGATGGGCCTGCCCCACTTGTGCACGGGGTGGTGAAGACAGTGCTGTGGCAGCCTGCAGGGCTGCACGGGTGCAGGTCACTCCTGGGGGGCTGCAGCTGCAGGCTGGGGTGCAAGGGACGGGGCATAGGCAGCAGTGCATTTCGTTCATTGGTTCTTTCAGGAAAGTAGCCCTAGCTGGTGTTCATAGCTTGAGTTTTTGGTTATTATTGTTAAAATTAAAGCAATAGCCTCAAACAGGTAATTCTGAGTTTGCCAAAGAGTCCAAATTCAGCCCAAGACAAGCACCTGTCCCCTAGCAGGTCTCGCGTGGGAGCCCAGAGCCCACGGGTCTGCTTCTGGTACCAATGGCAGCGGGAGCTGGCGGGAGGGACGAGACCACGGGCCGCGTGCGCTTCCTCCTCCTGGTGCCCACGAGGAGCCTCGGGCTACATCTCTGCCCTTTCCCACTGCAGATCCAGCTTCTCCACCACTGAAGGCTCCCATTGTGCCCAGCAGGTGTCCAGCAGCAGGGGCTTGAAGCTTGGTCTGTTGGCCACTAGGACCCTGTGGGCTCTTCCCAAGAAGGTCACCTTCCCACAGACTGTCGTCCTGGCCCTCAGGATTCTCCCCATGTCTCCTTTGCCCATCTCTTGGCCAGAGCAAGGGGCCCTGGAGTGGACTGGGCCATGTTGTCCAGGCCCTGGGAAGGGTGTTCTGTTGGCCTCCAGCACACACTTCCCATTCCAACTACAGCCACAGGCTAGTTCCTTCCTCCTGTCCCCAACACGCCCTCGACGAGGCCAAGATAAACCTGTCCTCTCCTGAGCACTCGCCCAGAGCCCTGGCGTCCCATGCACAGGTCAGCCATCCGGCTGGATGCCCTTCTGCTGTGTGTGCCAAGGATGTGGCCAGTCCAGGGGGTGCCCCTTGGGGCCTGCAAATGTTTTATCTCTTCGTCTGCTTTTCTGCAGAGTTTGCTGGGCACTTGCTGAGTGTTGGATGTGTGAATTCGGTGCCTTCCTTTTGTCCTACAGATGGATTTCCAGCAGGGAAATAAACAAAAGGGGTGTTGGGTAGAGTCGTTCCGGGGGTGGGTACTGTGAGGTTGGCTCAAAGTGGGGACCTTTAATACAGTCCCAGTCCAGCGAAGTTGGTGTTGTCCCTCAGCCTGGAGGGCATTTAAAGGGGAGACTTGGGCATATTCTAAGCAAATTCAAGACAAAGTTAGCCAGCCTTCACGTCAAATTTACAGGGGTAAGTTAACAACTGAAATAACTAAATCTGTAACCGAATACTTTAAGTGAAAACGTACTCTCTCCCCGAGACCTCCCTCCCACAGGGGGTCTTTTGGGGCCTGGTGTTAAGCAGTGTGGGGGTGTCAGGGGCTTTGCAGCCAGAGGGTCTGGCCCTGGCATGAACCTCACACCTGGAGTCTCTGCCTCCTTCCTGCCCCTCGGAGCCTCTTCACCTGAGGTCAGGTGGGTGAGCAAACCCCTCATGTCTCTAAGCCTGGCTTGGCTTCAGCCTTCCAGCCCCTGCTGGGACCAGACACTTCCTGTGCCAAAGCACCACGTGACAGCAGAGCCCGCGTTACAGCCGAGCTCAGCAGAGAGGAGAAGTGGCCAGGGTGGGCATCAGGAGGCTAGGGCCAGTGTGAGGGATGGGGCCAGCGTCGGGCATGGGCGCTCACTGCTGGCTCACGGCAGCTGTGGATGGTGCAGAATCCCTGGTCCCGATCCTCATGCCCCTGTGACTCTGACGGCTGGACCCAGTCCCTGTGTGCTTAAAGGTAAAGGGCGTTCATAGCGACTGGCCAGAAACACCCAGGCAAGTGTGCCAGAAACACTTCAAGACTTGTGCTCTGTCTATACTGGCAAGTGTTTTGTGACTTGCCAGCTGACCTTCCTGGCAAGCTTGGTGCCCCAACCTGCCCGGGATGACAGAAGCTGGGTCTGAGCCCATGACAAGGATTGACTCCTGAGCCCTGGATGGGCTGAGATCAGAGACCCCTCACCGCCTGCACAGATAATCCCTGTGCCGATGACCAATTGCAAACCCCGTGGTGAACATGCTGTTTGCCAGCTTGGCACAAAATGCCGGTTGCTTTGAGTGCAGTGATAATTAGAGGTGGGTACCCACTGTCAGCACCTCACGGTGCCCCTGCTGAGGGTGGCCCTGAAGGACAGGCACTGGCCTGGGCTTGCTCCCCATGACAAAGCCTCATTGAACAGAGGACATCAGACCTGTGGGGCTGGCACAGGGATGGAGGATCTGCAGCCGGTGCGTGGTGGTTACCCAGGAACCAGCGAGTCCTCTTAGAAGTCACGAGCCTGCGGTCCTGCTTAAGGTGGGCCGTCAACCTGCAAGGAAGATGCACGCGGACCAAGCATCCTGTCTTAGTTTCCTTGTGAGAGTAAGAAACAGTAACGGAGATTCTCACGTCCTGGGCAGGTCGCTTAGCCCTGTGGGCCTCAGCTGCCTCCTACATGAGAACGAGTGGAAGAGCCTGACGTGGAGGTTTCATATGGCACGAGGTGTCGTGGGGCGCCAGCGTCGAGAGGCGTGAGTGCAGCTGGGTCTCAGCAGTGCTGAATCCAGGACCAGCCCCTGCCCTCTGCTGCCTGCTCTGCCCAGTGACCACAATCTCAAGGGCAGCAGGGGCGCACTTGGTCACTGTCACCCAAGCACCACGCATCAACAGGACGAGGGCCCCTTGTCTACTGTCAATGAAGAGAAACCACACCCCATGGGAGCCGGTGAGTTTATGGGGTCAGACCAGGCCTGTGCCCTCGACCTGAAAAAGACAGCCCCAGCCCCTGGTGTGTGACCTCCGGGCAGGGCACATCCATGGCCTGGAAGGAGGAGGAAGCAGGAAAAGTGTGTGACTGGGAGACACATGCCATGTCCAGGCACGCCGAGAGGACGCAGGTCTGCAGCTGCGTAGGAACGGTGCCGGGCCCCCATGGAGGCAGGAGGCAGGAGAACGGGAGCCGTGCGGCCCCGCTGTGAGCTGAGCCACGTTCTCTGGAACCACGTTCTGCGCCTCCTGGGGCGGCCAGCACAGGGCTTCTCAGAGCTGTCCAGAAATGTCACAGGTGGCAGCGGGCTGCAGACACAAGTCATGGCGAGGACCAGAGCCCAGGCCTCCGTCCGCAGGGCTCCCTGCATCTGCACGGCCAGCGGCCCATGAAAGGACGCTTTGAGCTCTGGGTATAATCATAGCTCTTTCTGCAGCTTCTGGAAGCTCAGAATTGTGTTGCCGTGTGCGCGGGAGCTGTCCTGCCTGCCTGGCGGCACTGTTTCAGGTACTGTCATGGACACCGCGGCTGTCTGTGACAGGCTGCTTGATTGGAGCGCTCCTCGGAAAGCAGCTCCAGAGAGTGGGTCAGAGCATGCCTGGCCTGAGGCCATCCCTGAGATGCTCTGGGAGAGGCCAGGGTTGGACAGTGGGCTGAAGGGAGGGCGTTGTGACAGGCTGCTTGATTGGAGCGCTCCTCGGAAAGCAGCTCCAGAGAGTGGGTCAGAGCACGCCTGGCCTGAGGCCATCCCTGAGATGCTCTGGGAGAGGCCAGGGTTGGACAGTGGGCTGAAGGGAGGGCGTCCACCAAGGGGGATGGCAGGGGTTTGGGTGGGCAGCCTGGCCTGGCCTGGGAAGGTGGAGACGTCCGCTGGGGATGGTGGAATGTTCTGGGTCTGCCTGGAAGCTCCTGGGGTCAGCTCGGCGTTCTGTCTGACCCGCTCCCTGGGAGGTCTGAGCTCCTGGGCGGCTCCATGGATGCGTGGTGGTCGGGTGAGAGGGCACCCTGCTCCCACACGGAGTTGGGGGTGCTGCTGTGGCCAGTGTGGCTGTGGAGAGGGCGACGTGCCCTGGAACCTGCCCCATAGCCGCACCACTCCCAGCTGCTGGAGAAGCTTTGGGGCAGCTCAGGGTGAGCCCTTCTTTTGTCCTTTCACTCAGACCTGCCTGATCAGTGCACTCCGAACCCCTGCAATAAGGAGGGGACCCAGGCCTGCCAAGACCTCATGGGCAACTTCTTCTGCCTGTGTAAGGCCGGCTGGGGGGGCCGGCTCTGTGACAAAGGTAAGCCCACCACAGCCTCATGATGGGCCCAGGGAGCAGGGCCCCTGTGTCTCCCACCCTCTCTGACCCCAACCTGCACCTCCACCCACCAGGGGGCCTCTGCTCAGCTCCCAGCCAGGAGCGCTTCCCTTCAGGTCACACCACAGGTCCAGAACAGGGACAGCGTCCCACATAGGAAGCCACCAGGATGCTGCAGGTCTGGGTTCTCCCAGAGCCACACCAGCTCCTTGAGAGAATTAGGGAGGAGCTGGGTGCTCTTGAGAACAGGGCTGGAGTGAACGGAAATGGCACACAGGACCTCAGTGCCCACTGATTGAAAGGGAGGGAGTGATTTCACCTCTGAGTCCCCTGAGCGCAGCCTGCAGGGAAAACGGCCGCCGGGCCTGGTCCAAACCCTTCACTGTGGTGGAGAGTCCGGCAGGCCGGGCTGGCCCCTTCATCTGGCCCCAGCATCTCCTGGTGTCCTTAGGGATTTGTTCTGCCTCAGGACAAGCTCTCTGGCCAGGCCATGTCTGTCCTCAGGCATCAGCCAGGGGATCCTGTCTGGTCTCTGGCCTTGGGTGCCCACAGAGCTGAGCCTTGTGGCCTGTCACCGCCAACAGCTCCTCAGGGCCCATGACACCTGCTGCCTGCCACCGCCACATGCGGCCAGGAGAGGGGCGTCTGGCAGAGGCTGCCCCAGGCAGGTGTGTGTCCCTCGGGCTGCCCTGCACCCTTCCTCCCGTGCAGACGTGAACGAGTGTGGCCAGCGGAACGGCGGCTGCGGCCAGGTCTGCTACAACAAGCCAGGCAGCTTCCAGTGCGCCTGTCACAGTGGCTTTGCACTGTCCCCTGACGGCAAGACGTGCCAAGGTAAGGCCTCAGATGGGCCCACCTGGGCTTCCCCAAGCCTCTCCCCTCTCGACCCCTGCCCACCTGTTACTTTTGGTCAAGTTTGCTGCTCTGTGAGAGGCTGCAGCTGGCTGGTTCCCCTGGTCCTAGAAGGGATGGGGTGTCCTGCAGAGACAGCACAAGCCCAGACACGCTGGTGGCGACAAGGAGCTGCCGAGCACCACGAGAGGGATTCCCTGGGATCTGAGAGCTATGGCTTCAGGCGTCCATCCAGCTAGTGAGGCCACACGCGTAGGCGGCTGCTGGGCCTCCTTCCAGTCCCACGGAGGCGCACCAGGAGCCTGGAAATGTGTAGACTAACCTTTTCCCCTTCAGTCCATCCTCATGCCTGGGGAACAGGGTTTCCCCATCCCGGCTCTGTCCCTGGCCTAGAGCGAGCGAGGGACTTGGTCCCACAGTTCACAGACTCCACGAGATCATGTCCAAAGGACCTAACACAGCACCCAGCATGCAGGGGGCTTCCTGTTGCCGCCATCGTGGTGGGGTGTCCCTGGCTTCCCCCTCCTCCCCAGCATCCTCCCCCTCCTCCCCAGCA